TCCTGCTCATATTTAGTTTATGAACCAGTTAAGTAACATCTAACAAGTTAATTAACACAGGCAGGTGGCCCCTGCTTTTCACCTTACAGCTCTGATAGTGTGTTTTGTTTCTGACCTGCAGTGTACCACTCCTTCCAGTCCTGGGACCTTTGTGTTGCTGTTGATGCTCTTTAATACAATTCTCTGTTGATACACCTTAGTCTTGACTTGCAGCACTTCCTACTGGTTGTCTTATGGGACAGCCCCCCCCCCCCCCCCCCCCCCCCCCCCCCCCCCAACTCTACCCCAGAGTCTTTACACATAGCTGGAACCTCACCTGGTTCCCTCCCCCCATTTCAACTGACTATCCTGCCTAGAGCTCCCTTCCTGTACCCTGAATTCCTTTCTGGCTGTACTCCAGAGACTGCACTCCAACCCCAGTTTAGTGAGCATTAATGGCCCTCCCTACAATTTCCATGCTTGTGTGACCCTCGGAGTAAAGTTTGCTTATGCCAAGGCCAAGTAACTTATTGCATGGAGTAAGATGTTTTTCCATGCTTTCCTTATCTCTAGGTATGGGAACAGAATGCCTTTAGCTGTGGATTGTACAGCAGATCTGATTCGCTGTAAAATCCTGGATACATCTGGCAACATGAGGTCTCATGAACTAGTCCTATCCTATGGTCTGGCTCTTGTGAGGTAAGACTAAAAGGTTTTAGCACAGTTGGAAAAGGACCTACTGGGGGAATGCATTTTTTTTTTTTTTTAGCAATTCTATGTTGAAGTTCCCTAACAGCAATATCCCAATTGAATGTGTGGGTTAACTCTGCCCATATGTCAGGTCTTCTGTTAGCAGTTTTTAATCTTTGAAATATTCTTCTCGTTTGTAACCTATTCATAGATTTGTGAATCTAATCACAGAGCGGAAGCAGAAAATTGTCAACATTCCCTTGAGGCGTCTAGCTAAAGAGGTACTTTTGAATAAGAGTTCCTGGCTGGTTTTTATGTGCATTTAGACATATAAAGAGAAGAGAGGGAGAAGCAGTTTTGCTCACTGCCATGCCTCCCCACCGCCCCCAAGCTGGAGCCTTGTCCCCACAAGCACAGGGAAGCTCTGTTCTTGCAGTTCACTGGCTGGGAATCGTAACCAATGGGAGCTGTGGAGGGTGGTGCCTGTAGGCGAGCCCCAGGGAGCATGGAGCCATCTGTCCTCTGAACACCCCTTTCCCTGAGCTGCCCTAAGTAAGCACTTTGCACCCCAATCTGCTGCCCCAGCCCTGAGTCCCCTCCACACCCTAGCTCCCTCCTAGACCCCCCCTACTCCAACTGAGCCCCCCCACACCCTAACTCTTGACCAGAACCCACCTAAGTTTCCTGCCCTGACCCCACTCCTGCACTCCAAACCTCTTGCCCCAGCCTGAAGCCCCCTCCTACATCCTAAACACCTCATTCCCAGCCCCACCTTAGAGCCTGCACACCTTCCCCCCACCAGAGCCCTCATCCTTCCAACCCTGAGTTCTCTCCCACGCTCTCAATCTCTTGGCCCCACCCATCACATCTCCATAGTGTGTGGAATGAATTATGTGCACCAGTGATTAAAAAAAAGTTAGAGGGAACACTGCCTGTGGGGCCCCCCATAGGGATGTAATATCCTGTGTAAATTGTTACCTGCCCACTGCACCAGAGCCTCCCTCTGCCCATGGCACAGTGGGGCTGGCTTGGATGCTCTGGCTGAGCCAGGCATTCCCTCCAGTGGACGTTCCTTAGCCATGGGTGGGGGGGCATGTCAGGTGGGCTGGAGCCCCCCTGTGTGGTACAGAGGACCCAACTGGGCTGGGCAGGGCCTGCAGTACCAGGTTGCTCCAACCGGGTGCTGGTTAACCCTTTACATCTTACTCTGCAGTATGTACTTGCGTGTCTTGGCTATTGAGCTGCGATTAGATAGGGTCTAGTTTAAAATCCTTTGGAATTTAAGCCCACTGTTAAAATCTTGCTCAAGAGGCCCAAGGCTAATACGACAATAATCCCCTGTACAATGCCAGTGTCTTGTCTCCTTTTGAAGTGGATAGCTTCAAAAGAGAAATGGACCCCCCAATCCCATCATGAATACCAAAGCTCAGGATCCTGCTGGGGTAAAGGGGTTAAACTAAAATTTGAGCTGAATGGCAAGAGAACTCATGGGGTAGTGATGTCTTTCCTATTACTTGTTTCAGGAGTAGCCATGCTAGTCTTTTTTTTTTTTTTTTGCTGAAACAAACCACAACCACCAAACAAACAAGGACTCCAGTGGCACTTTAAAGACTAACAAGTGTCTCTCACAAAAGCTTGTGCCCTAATACAAGTCACTTCAGATGCTTGAAAGAAAAAAAAAGATACAGGATGGGAGTTTAATTAGCAATGATGTCCTGCTCACATCTGTAGCCCTTCCTTTTTTCTTTCCTCTTCAAAGATCTAAAGTGACTTCAAACATCTGAAGTGACTTGTATCTCATGAAAACTTATGCTCAAGTGCCCCAATTCATTTGTTAGTCTTTTAAGTGCCACCAGAGTCCTTGTTCCTACTACTACTGAATGCTTTCCAGGGGAAGGGCTGAAAGTGTCAATTATAATGGACTATACATAGCATTTAAGATTACACTATAGGTACTATGCTGCCTTATGCACAGGGTCAGTGTCTGTTTGATCTTTAACTTTCCTGATTCAGAAAATTAGTAATACAAGGACAATAAAATCTCAAAGTACTCCACTCCTTGTCCAATCAAAGCTCATTTTTAAGGGACGTCAGAGTTGAACAAATGTTGTAATGTATTTAAAATAAAATTGACTCAAAGATTTCCCAGGATTAAGTTATTCAGTTAAATGAATCCTGGTGTAAATCACACTTATGAAAAATGTTACCTACTATTGTTTCATGCAAGACCTACAATTCTGAGAATGAAAAGATGAGGGAGGGAAGAATTGCTTGCAGTGTATTTTGTGGATATTCAGTTTTACTCTTTTCTGGTCCGTGACCTTCCCCTGTTGCTTGCATTGATCTCTAACAGTGTTGGGGAAGAGAGACTTATTTACAGTATAAAAACCAAACCGGTACTTGGGGCTGGTGTATGACCAGAAGTTACTCCTCGCTGACTAGATTTCAAGTTGATTGTCCATTTAAAGTTGCAAGAAGAGTAGCAAAGGGAGAGAAGGTAGCATCAACAGGCTCGTAATGAACTGAAGAACTGTTTAGGCAAAGATGCAGGAATACAGTTCTAGGCAGCCAGGATTGCATAGGAAAATGTCCCAGGCTGTGAGGTGTTTTTACCTCTCTTCCATGCTTGGTGTCTGTTTGCCTGCACACCTGCCTGTGTTTAAATGCAATGCCGCTTGTAGTAATTTTATGGTTCTTTCAAAGATGAACATCCCAATATGGATTGTGAACCTTCGCCATGATCTGACCCATGGGAAATTGCCTCAACTAATTGCCTGCAGAAGAGGTGAGCCATATATTTACATGGACACTGTGTGCCTAAGGCAGTGGTCCCCAACCTTTTGGGGCTGCTGCATGCCCGGGGGGTAGGGCCAGCCCACACGCTGCATGCCCGGAGGGGGTGGGGGGTGCTGCGCCATGGCGCCTGCAGGCACAGTGTTGAGAACCACTGGCCTAAGGAGACTGTTTCTGGGAGCTGCTAGGTTTTGTATTTTGGCTGCTGATAGGTACTGTTTTCAGTATTCCACTAAGTGGTGCTGCTGGACATGGATTTACTGTTTCCATGGCAGACAGAAGATCCACAGACTCCCAGAAGAAATCAATGTGGAGACAGATGTGGCATCAGTCCCAGATGGTTGGGCAAACAGGGCCTGGACAGATGAATGTGACAGGGGGACAGTAGCCCTAGAGCAGAGGAGAATCTGGAAAATGGGGTGTTAAAGCATTATTCTTCAAAAGCATAAATCAGGTTTTACTTTGGGGGCAGCAGCATGGTATGGATGAAAGGATCACAGAAGGGGAAGAGGTAACGAGACAGATGGAATGAAGATGACTGGCCCTTTCTCTCCAGAGCTTCCTTTTGGAGAAGAGAAAGGGGGATCTAAAAACTCAGGATAAGAATAAAACTGAAAAGTTTCTCAGCCCAACTGGAAGGGATGTGGGGGTAGGAAGTGAAGGGGAAGGACTAAGGAGCCATTAGTTTTAAGGGAAGGAGTGACAAATGGAGATAGCACCACTTTATGGTAATTGAAAACTGGGTATCATGTTGTAGGTGCTCCTGTACCCCCTTCTGTCTGCCATCTCTGGCTGCAGGAGCTAAGAGGGGCAAGGTGCTGGGTTTAGTTCTCTTGAGCAAAAAGTAATACGTTTAAGACAAGATTGTCAGACTTAAGTGTTCAAATTCTGACACTTCAAGTTCCTCTATGTAGATTTGGTTAAGAACTCCACAGAGGTGCGGAGAATTGGCAGCCCCCACTACCATAGTACTGATGTACTAGATAATCGCTTTTCTAGCAGCAAAATTCCTTTATCTAATCCAAGGTTTCTCATCCCTTGGATGGGGACCCTAAATTGGGTCACTGGAATGTTTCTAAAGGTCAAGTGGCAACTCCTGTCCCACTGGGCTCACTTCCCTGCTCCAGGCACTGCAACCTCAGGTCCTAGCATCATTCAAGACTGGCCCAGCCATCATGACAACACAGTGCAGATAGGCCACATTTGAGTGTCATTGCAGCCTCATGAGCTAGGGCACAAGTCCACTAAGAGATTTGGTGCACTGTGAGAGACAGGGTCAAACCTGAGCAGTGCTGTAACCCCTCCCCTTCCTTCCTTCTCCCCCCCCCCCGCAGCATTTTAACGCTGTAATCACACATAAGACTGAACAATTTAAATTGGCAAAGCTCCAGTCAGAGAAACTACAGACAGGACCCACCTAAAACTACCCTCTCACTTCAATCCTCAGACTATTTACTGGATTATGACATCATAATCCTTTACAAATTAGTCCTTAGACCAGTGGTTCTCAACTTTTTTTGGATTCATCTTGAGCGGATACTGAATTCTTACAAGTGGTTAGAGTAGTGAGATTGTGATTAGGAAAAAATAGGTAATTGTATGTGTATAATTTTCACACAGGTAGCACTAATTAGGTGCTTGAATGCTACAGTGATGGGCACAGTAGAAGAATCTGATCAGTTTCCAGAACATTTGAGTCTTGGACTGAAATTGTCCATTGTTAGAACCTAACAAGTTGACAGCTGACAACCCCCAGCATTTTCTTTGTGTCTTGGCTGTCAAATGTTCCTTTCTTAGCAACAGGACACATTATCCATACCACTTGCATTACTAAATTCAGAGATGAACTAACTCTAGACCTTAATTACTAGTGTATATTTAGCCTTCTGTATTCTAATAGTGAATTTCTCTGGGCTAAAGACCTGTTACAAATCTGTGTGTTGCTGTGTTTACCTTTAGGTTGTGATGTGGTGCTGGAATGGTTACGCCGGACATACTGGAGCCGTCAACTGGGCAATAGTCTGGCTGGAGAATGTGAAGAAGAGCAGAATGAGGAGGCAGAGGCAGCAGCAACTGAAATAGAGATGGACAGTGACACAGAGGAGGCTCTGAACCCACAACTACCAGCCTATCAGAAACACAAGGAGCTTCATGGTAGGTGTTTGGGAAACAGTGAGAGGTATCTGAGTTAGATCAGCATCTTCTAGTAACTGGGAGCTTACAGAACACACATGTACTGCTGCTACTGTCACTTGATCGATATGCGCCCTGTTTGAGGCTTCCTGCTCCAGAGCAAGCATCCCATGCACTGAAGTTACTGACCAGCTGTCAATTCCTTGTGACAAGAGGTGGGGTTGTTGGGCTTTCCCCTTAGTTGTTTCATTGGTCTTACAATGGCTGGTCTATTTGGGTCTTCCATTACTTGAACCTCCATCCAGGTGGCTTAAGTTAGGTGTCCCTTTTGGATATCTAAGTCCAGCCGTAAGTGACCAGGCCCTAAGCTGGCTCTTTTCAGATGCTCTCTTGAAAATCCTTTTGCCCAGCTTACCCTTGAGCCAGCATAAAGTCCTTCCAAATCAAACAGAATTGAATAGAATGTTGAGGGGTGCACTCCCCTCAAGCAGGATCCTGGGTCAAAGCCTCCCCACAAGCCTCCTTGTGGCCAATGGCTAGAATCCACGTCTCAGTTCCCCTTTACCAGGATAGGTATATTGCCCCACTGCCAGATTCCCAAATGGCAGTCCACGCTAGAGGGGTTAATATGGCTCTGCAGCCTGCGTCCAAATAACAGTCCCCTCTATCTTGGTTAATATGGCTCAGTAGCCTGGATCCAAATATCAGTTCCCTCTGTAGGGGTAAAGATGGCTGAGGTCTAGTCCTTACAGCACTCCCCTCTGTGGGGGTAAACACGGCCCTGAGGCCAGCCCACAGGCCTAAGGTAAACTACCTCTGCACAGGAGCACTACAGAGTGGGGGGTAAGGGAACCCCCGCCCTCCCTCTCCACCGGGTCCCATGCTGAGTGCCTGGAGGACAATCCTTCACCTTGGGCTACTTCCTACTGTTCTTGGAGTGCTGCTTTGCTCTCACTGCATCGCTTGGCCGGTCAGGTCCTCACGGATGGTCTCTCTGGCCATGGTTGCAGATGCTGCTGTGGCTGCAGCAGCAGCTGAGGTGATGGTGGCTGCTGGGACTGAGGCTCCTACTCTGGAGTGCCTTCCCCTCTGGCAGTCTGCCCAGAATGAGCTGCCTCAGGGCCTTTTATACTCAGGCTCACCTGTTAGCATGCCCAGCAGGGCCATGGGGGAGGGGCTCTTTCAGCCAGCTGAGCCCAGCCCATAGTCTGTTCTACATATAAGCCTGAGATGCCCTGTCACACAGAATCACACGCTTCTTTCACAGAATAGCAAGTTTCAGGGCTTCTCTTTGTTCCATTAGTAGAAATACACAAAGTTATACACTAAATTAAATGCTGGGGGGGGGAAAACAAACAAACTTTGTACCCTGTCTAAAAAGCAAACAAACAAAAACAAAACCCACCTTGGTTTTTGTCCCACTTGAGGTTTCTCTTCTGCTCCCCATTTCTCTAGCTCCAGGACTGCCTCCCTGGAACTTAGCCCCTTGTTGCAGGGATTCACTACAGGATTTAGCTCCATTCCTTTTCTACCATCAGCCCATAACTACTGGGCTTCCTTCTTTCAGGCCTTACACCCAATGCAGGTGTGAGAGGGTGGGGCTGATTAAACAGGGCTGGCTAGCCCTGGGCCTTCTGGCCTTTTAAGGGGCAAGCTACCCTGTTACATTTCCTTAGCATAGGTGGTAGAATTGCTCTTCAGGGATTATGGTTTTGTCTGGATCTGACTTCTCATACCAACTGCCTAGATTTCAGCACAAGTGCTGTTCTTGGCAGTGGAAAACCCAGTATCAGAGTGATAATATATATTACATTGGAATAATTTGGTGTTAAAACTGATCAAGCCAGGTGTCAAACCCTGACTGTAAATCCAAGGGTTAATTCCAAATTCCCCACTTGTCATTCTCCCTACTACATTCCTAAAAAAGCCAAGATCATCTGTTTAGTCCAGGGATTTCTGAAGTGTTTTTCTATTGAGTGGGCATAATCAGATAATCTAAGTGACATCAGTTGGTGCCCACAAAACTGAATGCAGAATAGGAGTCTCTTTTATTTAAAAATAAAACAAACGGACTCTAGGTATACATCATCAGTCCAGCAAGTGCTGAATAGGTCCCTTTTAATAGCAGAAGATACCTTCAGAGAGAGAGGTCATCAGTATCAAATGAACAGTGGACAACAGAGGTACTGCTCCTTTTTTTCTATTCCTATGTTTTAATTTACTGTTATCTTAAGCCAAGTATTAGAAACCTCCAGCTGGCCAAGTAACCTCTCTGAAGAAGGAATTTTCAGTCAGTTTCAGCTGTAGCCTGTCTGTCTTCTGTATTTTCCTGCTTTATCTGCAGACATATGGGCTATGTCTACACTAGCAGCTTCTTGCCCGAGTAATATGCAAATGAGGCTAAGTGTGGAATATCGCTGAGCCTCATTTGCATACCTAATGAGCCACCATTTTTTTCAGAAGAGGCTTTTGTGCAAGAAGGAGCATCTACACTACCCCTTCTTGCACAAGAAAAACCCTCTTGTGCAATGCCGTTACACCTATTACTTTTCAGGAAGAATGGTATTGTGTAAGAGGGTTTTTCTTGCACAAGAAGGGGCAGTGTAGATGCTCCTTGCGCAAGAGCCTCTTCTGAAAAAAATGGTGGCTCATTAGGTATGCAAATGAGGCTCAGCGATATTCCACCAAGAAGCTGCAAGTGTAGACATAGCCATGCTGTTCGGCCTGGTCCATCTCCTCTTGTTGAAGCACCGCTTTTGCTTTCTCAAAAACTATTTGGATCAGTAGCAGTCTTGTGTAACTGAACAGTGGTGCAGTTATGAAAAGCATTGAGCAGTGAATAGAAGCTGAAAAGTAAGAAGCAGTTCCCCCATAAGAAACAGTTCTAATGCCTCTGAAAAAAGCTAGGTTAAGAGGAAGAATGTTGGTTGCAGTGTTTATCAGTATGTTGATTTCTGAATGATATTGAATTTAGGGGGTCACAGTGTAATGAAACTTTGGATAGAGGCGCACTCAACCAGAAGTTATGACCTTGATGCAGGAATTAGTGGGTGAAATTGTATGGCCTGTGTTAATGCAAAAGATCAGACTAAATGAACATAATGATCCCTTGTCGCCTCTGATTTATTTATTTATTTATAATCAGTAGGTCTGCTTTCAGACCTTGCCTCTAGTTGTGAGCCCAGCCTACTGTACATGGTGGTTGTGTGTGTAAAGTGATCAGGAGAGAAGGTTTTGGCTGAAGGAGCCAATATTTTATGTGTTGAGACTAGGGATGTCAATGAGTAGTTGACTAGGTGGTTAACCAATAAGCCGAGACTTATTGGTTAATCTTGTCGGCTACTTGCATCCCCCCTGCTCATTTGCTGCCTTTGTATAAGAGGCAGCAGGGAAGGGGGTGGAGGGTGAAGCAGGAGCCAGTGCTGAGGGAACCAGTTTAAAAGCTGGTTCCTCTCAGCACTGGCTCCACAGTGCCGCCTGCCTACCTCCCTCCCGCCCCGCTGCCTCTATGAGCAGAAGCGAGGGGGAGGCTGCCATGAAGCAGCCCCGTCTACGGCAGTTCCAAGCTCTCCGCAGACAGCAGCTGCTCCGCATCTCCTGGAGCAGCTTCTGTCTGTGCCGAGCCTGGGCCCTCTGTGGGCAAATGCTGCTTTGTGGTGGCAGCACCTGTCCATGGGGGGCCCAACCTCCCTGAGGATGGGCTGCTCTGCATTCTGCACCACCACCAAGAGAAGGGTAGTGTGGACTTAGTAATAATTACTATGGTCACTGTAAGTTGACCTAATAGGTCAACTCATGGTTTTAGTTCTAATATGATTACATTATTTAAGATAGTGAAATCTAGAAAATATTCTGAAGAACTCCAATAAGACATAATCAAAATTCAGATGATTGGACAGCCTGATTGCAGATAAGTCAATGTTAACAAATGCAGGGTAATGTGTTTTGAAAGAATTGTTACATCCTTATCCAGAAATGAACATAGTGTCCTGGCTATCTCAGAGATGCAATAGAAATAGAAGAGCTACAGAAATAGACGGACATTTAAGAGATGAGAAGAAATATTTTTTGACTTACATAATTGGCCTGTGAAACTTGTTGCCACAATATATCCTTGATGCCAAGAGTTTAGCAGAAGTACAAAAAGGATTGGATGTTTGTTGGAATAATAAACATCCACAGTTGCATTACTGAGGTGTAACGGCGTTGAGACTCACTGCTACAGTGCCTCTTGCTGGTCTCCTTGGGAATCAGCTCTTCAGTGTTGGAGCGCCATCTGATGGCCAGTGTTTCACCCTCAGTTACCTGTTCCCAGCAGGGATCCCTGGTTGGATGGGGGAGAAGTGGGGCTGCAGAGGCTGGGGAGCTCCAGCCCAACTTGAAGCCCTGCAGGCTGGAGCCCAGTGGCATTAAGGCCGGAGTGGAGCCAACTGTAAGGGAGGGGGAGTGTCCTGGGAGGCTAGTGGCAAGGTACCTCCCCATATCTGGCAAATTGTCTCATTTGGGATGGGTCAGGTCCTGAGGGTGCTGGACAAGGAAGGTTCAACCAGTATAATTAAAGAATTGCCACTGTTGGATTTATATATGATGTGTATTTCAGTGTCTTATGGTTTGAGTAAGAATTGAGCAGTATGTAAATGGCTTGCCCAAGGGGATCAGTTTAGAGGGAATAGCTCACTAGTTCCTTAAAGAGAGAGGAAGGCAAGTGAAATGGAACTTTTGTTAGCTCCTCATTACCTCTTATTTAAATTATGTAATTGTTTTTATTTCTAGAGAAAGTCAGAGAGGTGCTGGCATCCTATAAAAATCAACAGTTTGGGGTAAGTGCAATTTGACTGTTTCTTTGAGTGCTACTTCTTTTCCTATTGTGCAGTGATTCTGTGCTTTTATCACATCTTCTTATTCAAAGACTGAGCTTTCTCTATGCTACACAGCTTTTAGCGACATGGCTACGTTCCTAAAAGTCTGGCAGTATGAAAGTTGTTTGTTGGCATTTTTTGCTGACAAAATACTTCCACCCACCCCCACAAGCAGGGTTTGCATTGTTCAGCAAAGAGCATTGCTCACACTGCCACTTGCCACTGCAAAACTTTTGTCTTTTGGAAGAGATGGAAGGTGTGGGGGGGAGTTGTTGTTAGTGTAGATCAGGGCTACTCAACACACAGTCCCTGGGCCACATGCGGCATGTGGCCCATTTGTTTGCGGCTTGCGGTGCGGTTTGGATTTACGCTGGGCACAATACTCAGCCTGCGAGGGGGAGCCAAAATAAGAGTAGTCAATATAATAGTTTTTTGTTGATATGCTTTTTAGTAGTTAAATTCCTGGACTGTCATTGCTCATTAAAAGTGCTGTCATAAGGGTGGAAATCGGGTAAATATTGCATTTTATTAATATCAGCAGAACTGATTTAAATGGAGCCTGCGTGTTGTGTTGTCTTGCCTTAATCTTTGTATTCATGCCCATCAGTGTGAAAGAAGCTATTTGCATGTATATGCAGCCACACGTAAGCTGCATCCCTCTGCATGTTCTGAGAGTATCATTGTGGTCCTCAGGGCTTCCAAAGTTGAGTAGCCCTGGTGTAGACACAGCCTGAGAAATTGACATGCCTTGCAGGGCCTGACTTGGAATATTTGTGTGAAAGATTGGCTAGTTTATTATAACGGAAGTCCCATTTTAAAGGGACAGTCCTGTACTTAAAGCCTTTTACATGTGTCCAACTTTTTCTTAAAAATTGGCAAATTGTCCCAAAGTTTCTTTCTTCACCCATCAATACTGGTGGGGTCTTGCTGGTGGCAGCATCTCTGCTCGCCAGCTGCCTGCCCCCCAGCAATGAGTGGGATGAGGTCCAGTGGCCGACAATGAGGGTTGGTGTGCACAGTTGGTGGAAGGGTGACAGTGTAGTACCTGGGGCCAGCTGCTTCTCCTGCTGATCTGGCGTGCAGCAGGGACTATGCTGACAGCTCTCAGCCAGCAGGGCCGTCTCCCTATCCTTTTTCTAGCTGCCACTGCGTACAGTGGTTGGTGAGTGCAGACAGGTGCCAGATGGCAGCCGATTACATATCACCTCTGCTGCCCACTTATCAGCCTTTTATGTGCTTCCATTCTTGCTGTTCTCTCCCTGCTTTGCCCCTTCAAGCCCAGCCCTGCTGCTTCTCCATATACTCCCATCCCCCCGTCGGGGCTCCCAAGGTGGAGAACCAGCCCCTAATCAGAGCACTGAGTTCACCAATAGCCTGACCAGCAAGCACCTTAATTCCCTACTGCCTCTGGCTAGGCCAGTGCCCCCAGGAAAACCTAAGACCCACTGATCCAGGACACTGGTGAGGAAGAACCAAATCCTGATGTGGTGAAGCCCTGCACTGAGCTGGCGAAGAAAGTCTCTCTGCCCCTCATGTACGCTTTGGAGTAGCAGGAAGGTGGTGGAGAGGAGCAGTTTCCAGCTTGTTCACACCCTGACCCTGAAGGCTCCATTGTAGTCCTCGGGGTAGCATCTTAGCATCCTTTTCATCAATCCCAGCCCTGGGTCTTCCTCTGTCCCCTAGGATGCCCTGTCTTGTAAGGTGCACTCCTTTGCTGAGTGACCTCTCTGGCTGGGTTCGCTGAAGCTCCTGCAGTCAGATTCCCTGGGCCCTGGTACACATTGTATCCTTAGCGCTTAACCCCTTCTTGCACCGCTGTAGCAGAGGAACAGCTGGGTTATCTTGGCGGCCAGAAGCAGCCTGACGATATTAGGTGCCTTTTGACACTGTGTGGGCAGGAAGGGACAAGCAACTTCTAGCCACATCGGTGGGTGGGGAAAGAGGAGGTTTCCCAAATCATTCCTTCCCCCCCACACACTCCTGTGCTGCACGTGAAAGTAGCTCCCATCCCCCCCCGCCCCCCACACTCCTGTGCTGCACGTGAAAGTAGCTCCCATCCCTTCCCTCCTGCACCGTATCAAAAGGCTGCTGTTGACCACATTCTAGTGAGAACCCTAGCAGAAATCTGGGGAGGGGTCATGCGACCCTATATTCTCCCCATCCATTTGTTGCCCCAAGAAGATGCTGTACCTTGTACCAGGAGAGGTGGTTCCATTCTGGTAGCTCAGCCTGAGATACAGGGAAGAGTGTGCCAGGAAAGAGGGGTTAGGTCAGTCAGTCAGTCACACCACTCCCTCATGTGAGAGGTGTTATAGGAGAGTGTGTTTGTGAGCCCCTTCCTCGTTTGAACCCTAAGACTTTAAAGATAGAGGGTAAATAAAAAGAAATACTGCACAGTTGGATTCTTTTTACTAGTGCTTGGTCTCAATGTTAATTTGAATGTTCGTAAGATTGATTGCCATTGAAGTTGCTTGATTATGAATAATTTTACCAGGTGTCATGCACTGAGCATAGGGAAACTTCACCCTAATCTTAGGAATCTTTTTTTCCTTCCCAAATATCTTTAAAACCATTCTGGGAGCAAAACCTGCATAAGAATGTCACTTCAGTAGGTCTGATGCTTGTGCCCATCCTGTTTTTCAGGAACATGCGTACACACACATGCTTTTTTTTTTTTTCTAGTTCAGAAGTGCCAATTCTTATCTAAAGTATGAAAGAACTGCTGTGAGTAGAGGAGCAGTTTATCTAGTGGGCTGTAGATGGGGCTCTGGGCATTGCTGATGAAAAGAGAACTCTTATTATGGAACCTGGTTGTGTGGATCATCAAAGCAAAGCAGTCACGAGCTCCTTGCAGAGAGCAAGAAATATGGGCTTCTTGTGGCTTCTGAAATGTTTACACATTGCAGCATGGTTGTTTGTGTTTGTATGTAATGGCCCCAAAACTTTCTCCGCAGATCTTGTGCCTTCCTATTCCTTCAGGGTGCTTACCAATGTTTTTTTAATTATTGGACCCAAAGCCTTTAGGAACTGATTAATATCAGTCGTTTCGAAACAGGTTAAGGTTTTTGGTCCAGATTTTCTAGTAGCTAGCCTGCTATATTTGTGTCAGGGTTCAGCTGCTAGGAATAGTGCTGAAAGGTAGGAGACATGGATTTTACTCTTACAGAAATTTTACCACTGACTTGTGACAAATAATGAAATCTCTTGACAGCAATAATGATATTTTAATGTCCTTAGTAAAGCATGTTGAGAGACCCTGGTTGACAGGCACTTTAGAAGACCTTCAGATAGGGGCTAAAGCCCAGGGGAATCTATTTGGGCTTTGGATCAAGCCTGTTGAGAACACTTCATCTCAATTTCCCTAAAGTTATATTTTTCAGTGACTCCTTGTTTTCCACCATACAGACAATTAGTTAAATCATAGGAGAGAACTACAGTTAGCAGCTTTATAATGCATTTGGAATAAACATCCAGATTTCTCTTAGAGGTACATGTGGAGATAACATCCCATTCCCAATTCCTAAAATCCTTGGGAAACTGTATTTGGTAGTTGTATATGAGAATAATATTTCTCTCTGAAAAATAAGACAAGACTATGCAGCACTTTAAAGACTAACAAGGTGGTTTATTAGGTGATGAGCTTTCGTGGGCCAGACCTACTTCCTCAGATCAAATTGTGGAAGAAATTTGGCATGAACATAGATACCAAAGGGATACAATTAAAAAAAAATCTCTCAAAAATGTTACTGCTGTTATAAGTAGCCTGATGATTAGAACTGAAAGATTAGATTGGAAATTACTTTTCTAGTTTATTCTGTTTGTTTCACAGTACTTTCATAGAAGGTCTCCGCGAAACTGGCTAGACACGGTCAATGTCCTTTTCCTCGGCTTTTACAACTAGATCTTTACAACAGTGAGAGAGGGAAGAGAAAAAAGTCACTAAATGAATAGGAAATTGATTATAAAAGTACACAAACTGGCAGCAGAAGGGAAGTGGAGAGGTTGGTATATAACCTGGAATTACTTTTAAACATATTGGCTAGATTTCAAGATGACGGGTGTGTGTATATAATGTTTCCCTCCCTTAGTTCTGGGTCAACTGCAAAAGAAAAACAATTTTATTTCATCAGAATGGCATGCATGAACGGCCATGTGTAAATGCCCTGTTATTGATATCAACTAGCCAAATAAACCCTTTAGCATGCTCCTGCTTCGGAAAACATACTCTCCGCTCATGCTAGCCTGTGCACAGGTCTTTTTGTCAGACATCTCTTAAGTAAGGTGTCTTTCCAGTCTGTGCTTATTAGCTCTGGGAAAAGCTTGGGGATGTAGCTGATTAATGGAAAATACATCTTCAGTGGAGTAAACTGTGAGAATTTTCCTCTTGTTTTTAATAGATGGACTATAGCATTTTGAGAATTTTTTCCCAATCAAGAGTGTTAGAGATCCATGGACAGGATCTCTGCAAAACTCCTAGTTGAATGCTTCCTTTTTGCCTCATTCATTTTTTGTTTATTGGATTATGTTAAATACATTATCTGAATTATAAGTTAAAAGGTATAACTGTACAGTTTTCAGCACATAGGTTGGTTTACTGCAAAATCATTGCTAAATATCTGCTGGGGAATACTTACATATTTCTTCCAGAGTTTAGGGAGGAGGGTCAGATGTGGGGGAGTAGTTTCCTTTTTTGGCTCCATTTTGGGTACAATAAACCACATCTAGCAATGAAGTTCTTCAGTACTGGGATCCGCAAAACTCCTTTATCATTACAAATAAATATGATACAGTGCAATGGTGTGACAGGTAGTAAATGGGCCTTAAAAGTCACTTTTTGCAGGACCACTGACCGGGAAAAGTGAGGGAGTAAATGGGACATTTCCACAGGGCCCGGTGTTTCAAAGGGCCTGGAGCTTCTGACTGTTGCCCAGGCTCCTTTGTATTGCTGCCAGAGCACTATGCCAAGTGCTCCATGTGGCTTTGTGGGCTGAAGGGGCCCAGCAACACTCTTTGGGCGGTGCCAAGGGCTGACTGCCTCAAACCCACCCCTTCTTCCCGAGGCCCTGCCCTTTCTGGGGACATGGAACTGCCCTCGCCACACCGTGCGCTCGGGCCCAGGGTAGCTGTTTGCCCCACTGCTTTTTAGACAGCCCAGGCACTGGCACCCTTTCCTGGAGCAGAGCAGGAAGTGACTGTTCTAGTAACTCAGGGTCTTGTGTATATGGTATTTTAGTAGTCTGACCAATGTTATTTATAGTGTCAGCACCTGGCAGTGTAGTGGAAGAGTGGGGAAAATGGATAGAAGGTGACATAGTTTCCCTGTGTAGGAGGGGAAGACTTCTAAGTACTCTCTTTTGTTTTTAAAACAATTGATTCATCATGTGATTAAAATTCCCCAGACCCTTCTTTATTGTCCTTCCAGCCTCTGCTCTTTCCTTAGTACCAGTATTCAAGGAGAAAATCCTGTGCAATCAAAATCACGTTTAGTGAGGCATGAACTTCATTGCTGCAAATCCAAGAAGTTCCAAATGACTGAAACTTGACTTTACAAATATTGAGATTTTACAGCACAGTAAGCAAATTAGCTTCATTTTAAAAGTTCAGGGAAAATTGCTCCAGAGAGGCTAAAAGGTTTCTCTAGAATCCTACAGAGATGTGAAGGCAAAGTTGAGATTAAAACTCAGGAGTCCTGAGTCCCAGTCTCTGGTTTTAATTAGGGATGTCAGCATGCAGACGAATACATGATTAACCGACAAGCCTTGGCTTTTTGGTTAGTCCTTTCGACTACACACACTCCTCCCCCTCCACTCCCCAGAGGCAGCGGGGATGGGGAGGGGGAATGGGAGCTGGCTTAAAAGCCAGTTCCCCACTAGCACTGGATCTGCGAGCTCTCCACCATCCTGTGCTGCTGTCTCTGCTAGACAGGCAGCAGCACAGAAGCTGAAGGGGGAAGGCTGAAGCCAATACATGCAAGCTCCCCGCACTTATTGGCTCCCGCAGACCCACCTGCCCTCTCATGTTGCCTCCTACAGAGCAGCCCTTGTCCATGGGGGTCTGAGCTCCCCGTGGACAGAGGCTGCTCTGCATCCCACAGAGTAACCTCTGGTCCATGTCGAGCCCAGGAAGCTATGGTGGTATAAGGCATCTTTTTGAGCCCTGTGCAGATACAAAATTGGTATCTGCAAAAATGATTCATGGATATAGCTTTCACATCTGTGGATGCAGATACCTGTGGATATCTGCAGATTTGCAGGACTTTAGCCATCTTTATATCAGTATATCCACAGTAGGGAGGTTATACTGCTTTAACTACACCGGTAAAGGTAAAATCACTGTATTGATTGTAACAGTGAAACAAAAAATAGATCAGGCCTAGGTGAGTTTTTTTTTTTTTTGAATAAATACGCTAACCCAGTGGTCTCCAACTCTTAGGCACAAGATCACTTTTTGAATTTAAATGCAATCCTGGATCTACTTCAAACCCAAATACCCTTGCCCTGCGTCCTTCTTGCCCCTACCTCAACCCTTCTTTGAGGCCCTGCTCTGCTCACTCCATCCCTCCTTTTTTCCCCATCCTTACTCACTTTCACCAGACTAGGGCAGGGGCTAGTGGTGCAGGCTCTGGTCTTGGGCTACAAGTTAGAGGTGTGGGAGGGACTTTGGCGGAGCCTGAGGCAGGGAGTTGGGGTGCATGAGGGAGTTTAGAGTGCAGGTTGTTGGGAGGGAGTTTGGGTGAAGGAAGGACTCAAGACTGGGGCAGGGCAAAGCTTACCTCAGGTGGCTCCCGGGCATTGATGCAGTGGTGCTAAGGTAAGCTTGCCCCTCTCTGACTCTATGCCAAACCCAAAAGCAGGTTGCATGACAAGCAGCACCTCCTGGGGAGGGCAGGTGGTGCCACACACTGCCCCCTTGCCCCGTCTTTGGGCACCACTCCCACATTGTTATTTGCCATGGTTCCCCATTATCAGCCAATGGGAGCAGCAGGGACAGTGCTTGCAGGCAAGGGCAACATGGGGAGACCACCTGCCTCACCTCCCTCAGGGGCTGCAGGGACATGCCAGTCACTTTCAACAGCAGCACAGGCCCAGGGCAGCAGGGAGTCTGGCTGTTAATAGTCCAGCAGCACAGCTAGGCTAAAGCAGACTCCCAATTTAGCTGCAAGTACCTCCAAGAGATTGGGTGCGATTCCAGAAGACTTCCCAGTAGGGATGCAAAAGGTTAAACAGTTAACTGGTTACCTGGTAATTATTACCTTTACCAGCATGCTTACTGGACAACAAGTGATCTGGAGGGCCCAGCTAGCAGGAGCAACTCCCACGTCCACAGTGAACCTGGCCAGCAGGACCCCGGCTGCAGTGGGGTGGCAGGGCTGGAGCAGCTCTTGTGGCTGGTGGTTAATTGGTGACCAAGCCATTTAACTATTTTACGTGGTTTTTATATCCCTACTTCCCTACCAATGTTGTGCATATGGTTCGGGGAAAAAAATAGAGGTAATTAATTTTGTTATGTGCACCACTATTGAACTAAGGTGCGCCACCAGCAGAAACCAAAAACCTAGTTATAATATTTTATATATATATTTAAAAAATTACCATAGAGATAATTACTCCAACCATGACAGGTTAGGCATTTTAGAACTCACTATTCAAATCAAATTAAATTAAGTAAAAGAGAGAGATTAAAAATTATAAAATGCACAGACCAGTCAAAAACCTAAAATAACACATTTTGAAAGAAATAAAAGAAGTAACAGCAATACAAGTATGTGTTGGGTCCGGAAGTGTGTGTGAAAGACGTGTTTGTGTGAGTGACAGACGCGCGGTGTGTGAAAGTGACAGAGATTCGCATTGCTCCTTTAAGTATGCAGCACACATTCAGACATAGGAACGGCTGCCAGCAAGCTCCCTCCATCCTGAGCATCTGTACCCCTCTCTGTGGAGAATGGGGTACAGATGTTCAGGACACCCTGACATTAGTCTGACATCTACCTCCCCAACCCTGTACAGCAAGCAGGGGGATGGTGGGGAGCAGCTCCAAGGCAGAGAGCAGGAGAAGCATGACAGTGGGAGTGGAAGGGGGAGGAGCAGATAAAGTGCTGGCACTTTATAGCCTCCAGGACACCTGTCAGAGGTTCCAAGATCTACCAATAGATCCCGATCACCTGGTTGGTGACCACTGCTCTAACCTAAGGACTCATTCCTGCACATGATCATGTTTATCCAGCTTGAAGGTATTTTATTGTTTTATGATATTTGTCACATCTCAGACTTGTTTTAAGTAACAAAAAATATCTGTTGCACCTTGTCATTGTGACTATTCTAAGCAAATTAAACACTCATAACTTCAAACAGGCACAAGAAATCGCAGTTCCCTAGGCTCTTCCAGGGCCCAACTAGTGTTCGTTCAGTATTATCATCTGCACAACAACTTCTGCACCTACTCCGGTGTTTGTAACTCCTTAACTTTCCGTATTCATCAGCCACCTCAGAACAGAATTTTGCAGGAAGGCCTATTTGTGATTCACATAAAGTGCTGCATTGTCTTTAAAAAACAAAACTCTGAGCACATGAAGGGTTGGCCTGCTTGTATCATGTATGTATCATTTGAGTCTGATTTACACTGTAAGCTTAGCAGTGCATGGCCATGTCTATTCCAAACAGGGTCCAACCCCACGATGTCAGTGCTCAGCAAATTAATGTCATCTACCCCCGGCGTACAGATACTTCAAACCAGAAGGCCTGTTAAGCCACGTCTCTCAACAAGAGACGTGCACTGCAAAATGGAATGAAATCCAGTGCAAAGGACCCTATGCTGAGATGTGTCTGCATCTTCTCCCATGCATAAAAACTGCAAGAGCGTGTCACCAAGGCATTAAGAACACTGGGAAACGTGCACTTTCAGTGATGTCACATCTCAAGCAGCCTCCACTAGCGTTACGCATATGGATTTCCACTTGTAAACAGAAGGTGCCCTCCACTGGTGATGGAAATGCCACTTGCTCTCGGAGCAAATATTCCTAATTAGCACAGTGTGTAACTTGTACTCCTTTGTGCTAAAGCGTGTGTGTGTATGGGATAAGGATGTTAAATTGCGGTTACCAGGCTAATCGTACAGTCAATACAGTTTGTAGTGACTATAATTAGTTGATAGGACTGCTATGCAGAGTCGCAGTGGGGGTAGCCACCTGTGCTGTGGCTCTGTATTTTAAGTGATAGTACCAGCTCCTGCTGCTCCTCCTTGCTGCTTCTGATAGAGGCAGCAAGAGGGAGAACGACTAGTCGAGTCACTACTCGACTATCGGATAAGCTTATGCTTATCAGATTGTTGACGAGTCACTACATGCCTAGGGTGGGAAACTGAAGGTAAGACTGATTTCTAGAGTGGTAGCACATATGTCTAGTATTAGTCTTTTCTGTTTTTGCTATAGGACCCCTTGCTTGCTGTTTTTCATCTATTACATCCTGTATACTGCATAAATCATTGAGCTAATTTGACACTTTGGTTTCTTCCACACGTTTAACATTAATGACAGAATCCTGATTCAAGTAGGCATTATCTGTTTTTACTGCTGGAGACTTGGGGAAAGAGATGGACTTGCCAGGAAGCAGAGAATAAAACTAACAAATCCTAGAACATAGCTTCCTGCCTCTAAATCCTTGATCATGTTCCTCTTTCAGTTTAGGCCTGACTTAGACCTGTATTAGTGATTTATACTGCTGTTGAGATGGAAGTTCTGAGAGCTACTGTCAGAGTTGTGGATGAAATTCCTGGCTCATTAATCTGCTCTTTACAGTAGTGCCTCCTGCTTGCAGTGACTGCTGTACAACAAAATATATTCATTTACAGATACTGTTTTCTCTTATGCAGGTTCTTCAGGAGCTTCACTCCTTACGAAAAGCGCGCAAAGCATGGTGTAATTCTTCCTCAGAGGTGGAGTGGATTTTGGCTCAGATTAAAGACTTATTGCAAGAGAGCAGGTACAGTAGACTTCTGATAATCCGGAATTTTTGGGACCTATGTGGTGCCGAATTATCAGATATACCGGACTACCAGGAGGTACTATAAAATGTGTATGTGTGCGCGCACACACAGACTATATACTGTATATAAAAGCCATGTGACTCATTCGTGTATGTGTGCGCGCACGCACACACACAGACTATATACTGTATATAAAAGCCATGTGACTCATTTTTTTTGCTGAAGCTCACTCACTAGGCCATTTTGATGCCAGACTCTCGGGAATGCCATATAATTGGAGTTTTACTGTACTGTGTATCAAGAGAGAAGCTATATCCTGCAGGCAGGAGGCATAACACCATAAAGCTGTAGGGCTGTCACTATTTTACTGTGCTTAGACTTAAAATATTGTGTTCTTTAAGTTAATCACAGAAAAAGCCATAGATTGTGACGCTAACTCATCTATGATCTTAGTCTTGATTTCTGCTAAAGAATGTTTCCCCTGCTGGTGGCCTGTATGTGCGGCTGTTTCCTCTGGCCCTTCAATATCC